ACTTGAATTGGTGAACGAAACATTAGGGATTCTTGACACCTTACCATTTTTACTACTGAATTTCTTTCACACAAATCTTCTCTCCTTTTTATTTGCAACAAAAATCTCAAAAACTCTTCTTTTTCTTTAATTCACTTGTTATTTATTTTTCTCTAACGTTCTTATTCTGTTAATCTTTCTTGTTATTTTGTTATCTCTCTGCGGATACGACCGTCATTATGTGCTACAATTGACCACTTGTGAACATCACTTTTGAGCGTTAATCAAATTTTGACGCCGTTGCCGGGGAGGTCCTACTAGCAAGACTGATCAGTAAATTTTTGAGTCAAAGAGATAAGTGCATTTTTTTTTATTTTATTCAATTTCTCTTTCTTAATTTGCGTGTGATCTGTTTTTAGCCCGTATGAAAAAGAAAAAAAAAACTTTTGTTTGCTGTTTCTCTTTTGTTTGTTTGTTTTTTTTTTTTTTTTACATTTTTTACATTCTCTTTTCGTTTGTTTCAAAAAAAAAAAATGAAGTTGCTGCAAGTTTCCACGGATTCAATCTAATGTTTGGTTGGAGGATTCAAAGCATGATTTGAATCATAGTTTATAGTTCGCTATAATGTTTTTTCTCACAAAAAATATACGTAAATCGAAAATAGTTTTAATCACATGATTCTAATTTATGAACCAAACGTCTCCTAAATACTGCAAACTTTTGTATCCCTGATTCAAAAAAAAAAAGTCAGCTTTCTAGTGTCTGTTACCTCTCTTATTATAGTTGATATTCATAGTTGCTGCATATATATATATATATATACACTTTTTTTTTTCCTAACGTCTCTTGTTCGAAACAAAAACAAAAAAAAAAAGGTTCACTTTTACCTTAAATTAGTATTTACCTTTTTCAATTTTTTTTTATTTTTTCCGTATTTTTGTTGCTAAAAAAAACCCTCACACTTTTAGGATTTATTTTAATTGTTAATTTTATTTCCCTCTTTAGTTTTAAAATTGATTGTGATTTGATTTTTGTAATCTTTTATTTTTGATAAATTAAGATTTTAATTTGTTTCCCTATTTGTATAATTTAATTGTTTCCTTTTAAGTCTTTATTAATTTTAAGATTGTAATTAGGTTGTAATTAGTTGACTAATTTAGATTCCTAATCTAGGAATTTCATAATTTGGTAAATTTAGGCTTTTGATTTTAGGAATAGTTTCTATTAATTAGACTTCATTTCATAATATATTCAATAAAACTTAATAATTGATTTTGAGGATAATTGTGTGGTTACGTAGAAAGTACAATCTGAGAGAGTTTTATCTAGAAAAGTCAGTACTTAAGTGGGTCTCGCCCCACCAATCTTTCCTCAGAACGTTGTTATGTCTAGGAGATTATTCATTGAGCCAAGAGCTATAGTCTTTCCTGAGAGCACTCTCGGTGGTTACAATTTACGTTACTATATAGTTATTTTCTTTTGCTTTGATTAAAAATAAAAACACAAAAAAAAACAAAAAAAAATTAAAAAATTAAAAAATAAAAAAACCGCTTTGGGTGAATGCATCGATATAGAAACGAACTAGGGAGATTTGCTCAACGTCTAGACTTAGAAACCCCTAGTGAAATTCTATCCGACTCGTCGTCTACGCCTCCGTCTTCACACTCATCGTTGGAATTCGCATTTCAAAATCTATTCGCAATGGCACAACACGAGAAAGTTCAGCAGAGGACGTTGCAAGATTACCTGCACCCAACACGAACGGCCACCCCATCTTGAATTGGTGAACGAAACATTAGGGATTCTCGACACCTTACCGTTTTTACAACTGAATTTCTTTCACACAAATCTTCTCTCCTTTTTATTTGCAATAAAAATCTCAAAAACTATTCTTTTTCTTTAATTCACTTGTTATTTATTTTTCTTTAACGCTATTATTTTGTTAATCTTTCTTGTTATTTTGTTATCTCTCTGTGGATACGACCGCCATTCTGTGTTACAATTGACCGCTTGTGAACATCACTTTTGGGCGTTAATCAGCCCGAGAAAAGTCACAATCGCCGAAGCCTGCCGTTGCCGAAAGCCCCCGATTGCCGAAATTTTTTTATTTTTTTTCCCTCCAGCCCGAATTGTTTGAAGCCCGATAAACGACTAGTTGTTTGAACGTTGATGGCCGACTTGACCCGCCGAGACCGAAATTGACCCAAAAGCCCGATTCCAAAAGTCCTTTTTTTTTTACCGTTGACCGATTTTCAGCCCGAACCCGACCCGCCGAGACAAAAATTGACTGTTGGATATGAATTTAGGGGAAAAAAAGAATTTTTTAATCCAAAAATTTTCTTATAAATACTATCAATCCATCACATATTTTTCTCACCCAAACTCTCTCAATTTCTCTCAGTCTTTCTCAATTTCTCTCAATCTCTCTCAATCTCTCAATTTAGTTTTTATATAGTTTTAATACAAAATAACTTAATAATTATTTATATACAAATACAATTACTAAATAATAGTATATTATATATATACAAGATTATAAAAATTAAAAAAAATATAATAAAAAATATATATTTGTTCGGCCCATTCGGGTAGGGCTCGGGCAACTAAAACCAGGCTCACGGCCTATTCATGGGCTTTCTCAGGCTCAGGCGTCGGGCTTAAAATCAATTTTTTCGAGTGGTCGCAGGTAGCCTGTCCAAAGTTTCAGCACTAGTGCCCACCACGTGAAGAGGTTACATTTACGTTTGGTTCATAGATTAGAATCATGTGATTATAATTATTTTCGATTTATGTGTATTTTTTATAAGAAAAAATATTATAATAAACTATAAACCATGATTTAAATCATAATTTAAATTCTCTAACCAAACGTTCACGACTCTTTGATGCGGCTTTTATAGAAGGAGTGGCTACTCTTGCTTGGCCCAATATCAAATTGTTACTGACATCTGGTCTCTGAGAGCTCTTAATAAAATCCTTAACTTTTAGTGTGTATATATATATATTTATATTAAAAAATAATATTGAAGTATACTCTTTTTTTTTTTTTTTCATAAAAAGCGCGAACACAAATCTGTTTCCCTGCTTTTTTCAATCTGTGTGAAAATCTAGAACTCCAATAAAGTTGCCTTCCTTTTTCTCCTAATCATGCAAGTTTACCGTTATTATAGTTAAAATCAACTCTTCCCGCCTGACCCTACCTTTTCTTTTGATGATAGAATAAGATTCTTTTTTTTGTTTTGTTTTGTTTTTTACTAGTTGATAGTGAATAAATTTGTAACTTCTATATGCTTGTTAAGTTTTTGATAACTGTGTTATCAATTTTGTAATTTTACCGTGTTATTAATTTTGTAATTTATTTAACAATATATATTCTAATTAGTTGTCAATAAGCACAAAAATATATTAAGTATGAGCACACTTAAAAAATATATCTAAATAGAAATAAACGAGAAAAATAGCATTTAAAAGAAATACATCGAAAAAATTAAATTATAAAAGAGCCTTAATCAAAAACAAAAAAGAATAAAAAAACTAAGGAAAAATACATATGAAATAAATTACTTTAACAGGAGTAAAGAAAAGGAACAAAAACAGTAAAACTACCTTAACATGAATAAATTAGTGAAACTAAAAGGATGATGCGAAAAATCCATTTTAAAGAAGATGCATTTGAGGGAAAAAAATGTTGATCGGGCTAATTAGGAAAAAAAAATTATAAAGAATTACTTTCAGTATAATAAGGATTATATAAAAAAATTAGTCAGAGCATATTTGAAAAAAAAAAAAACATATTTTAATAGGAGCAAGTGAGAAAAAAAAAAGTATTTAAAAATATACATCAAAGAAATTGCAGAAGACCCTTTGGCAAAAAGGGAAAAAAAGAAGGATATGTAAATTATTTTAATAAGAGCAGAGCATGAGGAAAAAGTATTTTAAAAAACCAACACCATAAAAAATTAAATTATAGACAAATCTTTGCCAAAGAGAGAAATAAAGAGGAAAAAGAAAAATAGAAAATGAAAAATAAGAAAAAAAGGTAGAAAAGAAAAATGGGAACAAAATTAATGAGAACCAGTCAAGTACAAATCTAATTAAGGAAATATATGAGTAAGAAAAAGACACGGAAAAAAATTAGTGGAGCAATTAGGAAAACAACGAATTTATGAAGACTATCTAACAAAAGACTAAATTAAAAGGAAAAAAAATAATTTTAAGGGCTATATTTATTAAATATATTTTAGAGGATTGAATATGACAAAATAACTTCACCAAAAGTTTGAATAGTGTTTTGTGAGTAGGGCTATATTAGTTAAATGTTGTATTTTAGAGGTTGTTATGAAGGTTAGGAAAGAAAGTACAAAAAAAAAAAAAATCAAATCACATAGAGATGTAAACAAAGGCCTTGTTTATTTCACCGATTTGAATTTTTAATTCTAAATTTTTACAGTAAAAAGTTCTTAAAAAATGTCACATCTAACTTTTTTTACTACAATAAAAAGCTCTCAGAAAATATCACATCTTAATTCGAATTGAAAACTCAAATTCGTGAAGTGGAATAAAATGAGAATTGTTAATTTGCTAAAGGAGGAGTTGTTTCTCTCTTGTTCTTTTTTATTTTTGAAAAAAAAAAAGAGAAAAAGCAGACATTTATTGGCAATTTTTTTTTAAAAAAAAAAAACATATGATTTTGAGATTTTCCCCCTGGCGGTTGGGGAATAAAGAATTTTTCCTAACTATAAATAGCAAAAAGTCAACAACTTCAGAAAATGGATGGCAGTTAAATTTACTTGAAATTTCTGCATCAAATTCCCTTCCTCTTTTCACTCTTTCATCTAAAAAAAAAAAAAAAAATCAAAATCTAATTCGAAACCGAAAAAACCATATTTCCTCCCCCCCTTTTTTTTTTTTTTTTTGCCAGTAAACGTGAGGAAAATCAAATAAATGCTTATAGGATATTATTTGAAAATCTAAGGTCGTAATCTTAACACCAAACCCTTTGAATTTCTATTTCATAACTACACACAATAAATTAATTAATTATCCAAGACGGATAGGAAGTTTCGTAGAAGCTAGAATCTCTTTGCAACCTCAATGATTTTTCCGACAATATTATTATGCAAAAAGAATTCAAATAATAAAAAAACTGTTTTGTATGGATTTCTTTCCATAACCTGTTCTTGCTAAAACTCATCGAAGAGACCTTTTTTTTTTGGGTGATCTACGAGATATCTCTGCTCAGTATTAATCTGGGTTTTCCTGTTTAGTCGATGGGACTCCGAATTTGAAGTCTTTGAAAAAGGTAATAATATCATGATCTTTCTCATTTTCTTAGCATATGAGTTTTCAGGAAATGAATTGAAAATGTTTAAATTCGGAATCTTGGTGGTTTCTGTAACGAAAAACAAATGAGTTTGTTGTTAATTGGATGAGAATGATTGTAAAGAATTGTTCTTTGGATCTAAGAATTATTGTTCTTTTTTATTTGTTTATTTATTTATTTGTTTTATGCCGTCTTGTTCAACTAGAGATCTTCAATAGGATTTGAAAGAGATTGATAACAACTGGAGAATTGGAGGCTGAAACCTTGCAATATAGAGTATTGGGTTTTGAATAAAATTCAATTGTAAAGTTAGGATTTGTGGGATTGAATTGACTTGGTATATTTAGTCCATATTTGAGATTCAAGTAAGAGAAACTCAGAATAAACTTATATGGAGTCAACTCATGAAAGAGAGGCAGAGGAAATGGACAGGGAGACATCTGCAGATACTCCTCTAAGAGAGCTCTACAGAACCAATTTTTCTGGTACTGTGAGACAAAAAGCTTACATTTTTGATGGCTCAGGGAATTTCTACAATAAGGAATGGGATTTAGCTGAGGGTAGGGGCCAAGAGTTCTGTTGGTACCATGTTGAATTACCCAAAGGGAACCAGAAACTCTATCAATCTGCGCAATACTTAATCGGGGTTCTTTGCCCGCCATTGAAGCTCCAAGACATTCTTTCCCTCATTAGCAATGGACCCTTTTGCGGGCATGTTGATGGAGCCCTTGTGTTCAGGGTCAACTCACCTGGTCCAGCTTCTAGCGATTTCACCTTTACGGTTGCCGCAAGAGTTACCGAGAATTCGGTTATTACCGTGTCGTTGGGTCGTGTTCCGAGATTGGGTTTCTCTTCCCAGATGGGTCAATCTCTTCTCTCAGAGATTCCTAGTGTAGAGAGCCCAACTTACTGTAGAGGTCAGCATAAGGAAGGAGGGAGTGGGACAGTGATTAGGGAGCACGTTTTGGAGTTCTTGTTGACGATGAATCATTCCGAGGAGGCTGACAATCCTGTGCCAAAGTCTGTCTCGAATCTTGTGGTTCACATTATTGACACGCATGTGGATCAACTCCAAGATATGGTGACCAAACTAGAGATGGAGTTGGATGCTCTTGAGCTTGAGTTGGATAAAGGTAAGTTAAGTACTTATAATTGCTATTTTAGTTGCCTGACTATATTTTTTGCTGAATAGATTGGTATGTGCCTATCTGTAGAAGCTGTTTCCTTTCGTTGTGATGATATTTTAGGAAGATAAAAAGATAAGTCTTGAACTATTTGTATGCTCTGCCAATTCAAGTTACCCAGATTTGTTCCCTACCTCAAGCAACACTCGTTTCAACTTGCATATCAAAGGATGACATGATTGAGACGCAGTTCTTTTTCATGCTTCCAGCTACTCAGCAAAAGAGAGTGTTTATCATTACTGTTGATTTTTAGAAGAATCATTTAAAAGAAAACAAAGAAACAAGTATTCACAATGCATCATAAACATTAGAGAGATGGTAACTTAGACCCTGAAAGGTTGATTCATTGGAGACACCTGGGGTTATCCCTGTCGTACAAGAGTGAAATTAACAGAAAATTAATGATGGTGGTGAATCTATAGTTTGAGACAAGTTTGGAAAAGATTGACTCTTATACAGTTTGGAAAAAATACACTTTCTGAATGATCCACTTTAATGGTATCACCAGTACTACAAGATCAAAACTCACGAACATGCGTTTGGCGTTGTTGAGAGTTAACTTTGTTAACTATTTCAATCATTTTGGCTAAATTTTAGAGGGCTTTTGTTGCAGAGCAAGAACGTAATCACTAATCAGAAGAAGGTAAGTTTTGGGGCTATCTAGAAATGATCACTAGACGTATTGCTATTTCGATCTTTATTGGAAAAGAACAAGTGTGAAATCTTGTACAACTAATACTTAACAATTCAAACAAACTTCCAACTACTATCTGTGCATAGTCAGCTCCCTATCTATTTCCAATTGTATGGTTCTTCCTTGTGGTGAAAGTGAGGCACTTTTGTTTTTGATTTCAGGTGGTTTTGCTTTAAAGAAACAGATGCTAGATGATAGACAATTCCCCAAAATGCATCTTAATTTGCAGCGCCTCCTGCAGGTATTTTTTCGGCCCCATTTTTCGCTTCAAGGGCTAGGAGGAACAAGAATTATGAATTAATCAGTTGTTTGATATTATTGTTTGTCTTAGTGGTGATTTTGTAGTTCCATTTTCTTTTCTTTTTGTTTTTGTTTTTCAAAAGTGACAACACCGAATAGAGGAGCCAAAAGCCACAAAACCAGAAGTTACAGAGACTCTGGAATCTCTTTTTAGCAGTGGGGCTCCGTTCTTTCTGAGCTCCTTGTTATTGATCCAAATTATCAACTTGCAACTCTTTAATCTCTCTCTCTCTCAGCGGCTAGAATAGTGGGGCCAGGAAGTTTTGGTTACAATCATAAATAATAGCCTTAGTACGGATGTGTTTGTATCACTTTTTTGTCTGGTGGTAACCGATTGATAGAATTTCCCTATAAGCTATATTCTGGTGTAGGAACACAAAAATAATATGCAACCAAATAAAATACTGGATTATTAAACCTTATTCAGCGTGCTTCTAATTTTACTGAACTCAGGTAATTGCTCATGGAGAGCAAGTATTTCCCCGAGTCAAAGAAAAATCCTCTTCAAAACGTTGGTTTGCCGGTGAAGACATTGTTGCGCTTGAGGAGTTAATTGGGCGGTTAAGGAGGTTAAAAGAGAATGTAGGATTTATAGCCAATCGTGTTACTGCACTCCAGGCTGGTCTAGATAGCTGGCAGGCTGAGCAAATTAACAGGAAGCTCTATTATCTTTCATTTCTATCTATAATATTCCTCCCTTTATCCGTCGTCACCGGAGGTAAAATTTCTTCTCAAAGATTTTAGACAAGTGTAATTTTCCTAGAGCATTTACAATCAGACTTTGTTTTTAATACCTATCATTTTCTTGGGAACCCTTTTAACAGTTTTTGGCATGAATGTCGGAGGAGTTCCATGGACGGGACAGAAAGACCCGAAACTAAAAGACGGTTTTCTTAACGTCATGTTGCTCTGTGTGGCTATGCTATTCTTGGTCCTTCTATGCTTCATTTTCCCCTTTCTTTATTCCCGCATAGCCGCGTGGCGGAGAAGTAGGTCTATCAAAAGAAGCTGGTCTTTAAACAGGAAATCATTCCTGAGGAGAAACCGTGTTGGCCCATCCCAGGAAAGAAGGGGTTATCTTAGGATTTGAGGGGCAGATAAAAGGGTTCATCCAAGTATGTTTTTTTGTTCTTTATTGTTTCTTCTTATTCAGTTTCCAACTGTAGAAGCATTTTTACCATCTCTGTTTACTTTTCCCAGGAAGCTTTGTAATATTTTTCTGCAACAAGTTTGTTTAATCTGGGCTTCCCTATGGATCCACACAAACGACACTTATCATCCTTGTGTTGAACTGTTGATGGCAACTTTTACTCTGCCCTACAAACTGGAATATCATGGAACACTCATTCGCATCTGTCTGGATTTGACAAGGCAGTAGGATTTTTGGTTCGAGGCGAGCCTATTCTTTCACTGATTTTGTTTCCTTATTTTTGTTTCTTACATTCAGCAAACTTGTAACTTGTACAGTGTTGTTTGAATTTTTCATTCTTTTCCCACTCCAGATGTTGTTATTGTTCTGGGAGTTAATTACGTGTGCATCTATTTTTGAAAAAAAAAATATGTCCACAAATTATTATATTTGTATATAAGTCTATAAAATAATATGTAATGAAATTTCTATCCCTAGTTAACTATTTTTTAAAAATCAATTATATAAATTCACAACAACTCGGATAAAAAAAAAAGTAAATTTGGAATTATATTATATTAGTAATCATAAAAAGGACAGATTAATAATATTGTTGAATTAAAAACATATCTTAAACATGAAAAGTATTGTTCTGGGAGTTAATTACGTATGCGTCTATTTTTGAAAAAAAAAATATGTCCACAAATTATTATATTTGTATATAAGTCTATAAAATAATATGTAATGACATTTCTATCCCTAGTTAACTATTTTTTAAAAATCAATTATATAAATTCACAACAACTCGGATAAAAAAAAAAAGTAAATTTGGAATTATATTATATTAGTAATCATAAAAAGGACAGATTAATAATATTGTTGAATTAAAAACATATCTTAAACATGAAAAGTAAAAATTATTATATTAGTAACTATAAAATTGACAAATTAATAATATTATTGAATTAAAGACATATCTTAAACATAAAAGATAAAAATGATCATTTCGTATTAATACTTCTTGGTACAAGGCCATAAAGCCATGAATAGTTTGATGCCGCCCATTTTTATTTTTTTGGAAAATATTTTTTTGGTACCTTATAGTTTAAAACTTTATCATGTGGGTAAGACGTTTGGTTCAAGGATTAGAATCATGATATTAGAATCATTTTTAATTTACGTGTATTTTTTGTGTGAGAAAATACTGTAGCGAATCATGAACCATGATTCGAATCAGGGTACGAATTCCCTTACCAAACACACTAGAGTCCCATATTCGTGTCTTGATATTAATTAAAATATCATCCAGGTGCCATGAAATCTCTGGATATAGGCATGAAATGACAATTCTTCCCTTTCAATTCATTTTTTTGTACCAATACAAAAAATTATATATAATATATAGGGTTTTTTTTGGTTTTGGTACCTTATAGTTTAAAACTTTATCATGTGGGTAAGACGTTTGGTTCAAGGATTAGAATCATGATATTAGAACCATTTTTAATTTACGTGTATTTTGTGTGTGAGAAAATACTGTAGCGAATCATGAACCATGATTCGAATCAGGGTACGAATTCCCTTACCAAACACACTAGAGTCCCATATTCGTGTCTTGATATTAATTAAAATATCATCCAGGTGCCATGAAATCTCTGGATATAGGCATGAAATGACAATTCTTCCCTTTCAATTCATTTTTTTGTACCAATACAAAAAATTATATATAATATATAGGGTTTTTTTTGTCCCTCTAAACGAACTCTCTCCGATATAACGTGTAAAAGTGGAAAATCCCTTTTCAACATAATACCAATATTAAAAATATAAGACACCAAATTCAATTATGGTACGAATCCCCTTACCAAACACACTAGAGTCCCATATTCGTGTCTTGATATTAATTAAAATATCATCCAGGTGCCATGAAATCTCTGGATATAGGCATGAAATGACAATTCTTCCCTTTCAATTCATTTTTTTGTACCAATACAAAAAATTATATATAATATATAGGGTTTTTTTTTGTCCCTCTAAACGAATTGTCTCTCCGATATAACGTGTAAAAGTGGAAAACGTATCATGATCCTTTTTCAACATAATACCAATATTAAAAATATAAGACACCAAATTCAATTATTATTATATATTTCTAATATTCTTATTATGTTAAAAATAAGAAATTAAAGTATAACAATAGTATCATATAGTTATTTTTAGTGTAACACTTACTAAAAAAAATTATTTTGAATATATTCTTATTTTTTTTCCTTTTTGTTAAAAGTTGTTCTGCAGTATAATTAAAAAAAAAATCCTTTTTTATGTGTTTCTTGAAACACTTTTTTTTATCACCGTATTTACATATTTTTTCTTGATAGTATTCCCAACTGGTTTCATAAATAAAACTACTCTAATTTATCTTGGTTTAAATAGTTTATCTCCCATGCGAGTCTACTCAATATTCTTTTTCTAAGTATGGCCCTCATAATTTTTTTTTTCTAATTGCTTTACTAATACCATATATTCTCAAATGTGTCTCTACCTAAATATATTTTTTCTTTATAACCCTCTTAAATATTATTTTTTAATAAATTATTTATTTTCTAATTTGCTTCACTAAACATTTTATTTTACTTTTTGCTATGCTCTACTTAAATTTTTATTTTTTTCTCAAAATAAACTATTAAAGGAATATTAAGTCTAATTAAAAAGCAAGAAGAAATTTTGTGCATGTTTGGAACTATTTTTGAAAATAGTTTTCATGTATTTCAAGAAGCAAAAAATGAAAATGAAAACGAAACGACGTTTGTTTAGTAAATATTTTGAAAATAAAAAATAATGCGTGGTTTTTGTGAAAGAATTAATTGAAAGATGTTTTTACTTTTCTGTTTTCATTTTTTAGCACTCATAAATAATATTATAATATATTAATTAATAAACACAATTTTACTTTTTTATTATACTCAAAACAATCTATTAAAAAACTAATCAAACACAATTTCAAAATTAATCTTAAAATAATTCTCAAAATAATTTTATTTTTAATTTTTTATTAAAAATTAAATTATTTTAAAACTAATTTTAAACGCACCTTTTAAATCTTTAAATTTAAAACAAATAGCGCACGTGGTAAAAAGAGAAAAAAAAAAAAAGAAAGATAAGAAAACGCCGTCGTTTTAGTTATTTCCCAAAGGAACCCAACCCCAAATGAGGCACAAATACACACGCTAAACCCTGAAACCTCCGTTGCTTCACCATTGAAGAAGAATTCAAGCAAGAGCATAGCTTGTGAAGATGGAGATGGAGACGGAGACTCAATCTCAGTTTCAGATTGACCTTGGCAATCTCATGGCCTTCGACCCTCTTCACAACTTTCCTTCCCCTCCCTCCTCCAGGTTCCTATTCGTCTCTTCTTATTCTTTTCCCCCCCCCTCTTTGCTTGTTGTTCTGTTTATTGTTCAAGAGTGTTTTTTTTTTTTTTTAAAGTAAAGTTTCATTTTTTTTTAGTCTTTGTTATATCTGCGATGATGGGTATTCATAAATTTACTTAGGCCTATTCACTTTGTCGATTTGAGTTTTCAATTCGGATTGATACGTGATTTTAAGCTGTAGCAAAAAGGGGTTAGATGTGACTGATTTTAATCATGTTTAACTGTAATAAAACTGAAATTAAAAACTCGAATCGATAAAATGAACGAGTCATTATTTTCGCTTTTGGGTGTTTCATGAATGGGCTTTTGATGTTTTATGATTAAATATATTTGGAACTGAACAAACATGATTAAATATTCTTATTTTACTGGAGTTCTCATTAAAATAGATTCATGTACTGTGATTTGGACATGTAAATGACGTTGGGTCTATTTTGCTGTCTGGATTTGGGTTTTTAACAAAACTAAGTAGCACGGTATGAGAAAGGCTTAATGTAGTAGTTGCTTATTAGGTGTCTTGTGAAATGATTATTTTTTACATTCTTGTTTGTATGCTTTTGTGCCTTGTAAAACCACTAGCTAGTTAACTAGCTCTACCATATTTATTTCTGGTTTTATAGCTTGTCACCTGTTTTTAAACTAAGTATTTGGCATTTGCATTTTGCATATTTCTGATACTACATTTCTGGAGACTGATTTAATAACTTGTTTTATTTTCTGTAAGTTGTGTGAGATTCTTGGTAATTCAATAAATCCTTGTGATACCTTTTCGTTGCTTATATATTTAGAGAGCTCCTTTTTGCTTTACAACCCTTATTTATTTCAAATCTTAGGGAGGAGTTGGTGAACGAATGTCTGAAGAAAGGAACCGAGTTGGTTCAAGCTATTTCCGACACTCTTTTCAACTTACCTTCTACGGAGGATGTAGATGGTCCCCTTGTCAAGTTGCCTCCCCCAGCGACTCGATTGCCCAGGGAGAAGCCCGTGAGTTGTGCTGCTATTTACTATTGTCTTACATACCCTTTTTTTGTCATCTAATGAAATCATCTGAGTTCATCTAGTTAAATATGTTTGTTTATGTAGGTGCTTAAATATTGTGTTAAGTTGGACCTTCCAATTTACATATTTATTTGTATAAACTAAAAAATCTTGATGGAAATGGGGATTAAAGGTTATTGTAGGCTCCACTTTTTTATTTATTTGCTCTTCACTGTGCGAATTTTGTAAGTTACAAGAGGCCAGTGAGGTTCTAGTTCAGCGTATTGAGTCTTGATTGTGTTGATAAAACATGGTTCTATTCTTGGAACTATGACAAGAAGACCGATATTAGAGAAAGGTTGAGATAGGAAAAGGTTCTAGAACGAACCATTAAAGATTGTAACTTGAGTATATTCGAAGTCATGAAAGGGGTTTGACTGCTTTTGACATCATCCCCAATATGCCATTTTGTAATTGTTATTTTTATTTTTATATCTAAGCACAGAACTGAACTGCCTACTTGTTTCATTTTCTTTTTACAGCTACCAAAGCCTAAACCTCCAACAAAATGGGAATTATTTGCTAAAGCCAGGGGTTAGTGTCTTTTACTGTTATCCACTGCTTATATTTAAATGTAGTGAAAGATCTTTCATTTCGCTATAATGCAATGAAAGCTCCAGTCAAAATTTGTTATACTTTGGCTTTGGGCCTTAGATTGTAAATCTAGGCAGATTTATGGGTCGTTTGTTTCATATACTCAAACCCAAATCATTAATTCTGCTATAGTGTAAAGCTCTTACATAAAATTTGAATTTCAAACGTTAGAATCAAGAATCATGGGTTTGAGTATAACTTCCAAATAGGCCTTTAATGTCTGGATTGTATTTGATTTCACATCTTGAAGATTTTGTATGTTGGTTGCAGGTATAAAGAATCGGAAGAAGGATAAAATTGTTTATGATGAGCAGACTGGTACTTGGAAACGTCGTTATGGTTATGACCATGCAAATGATGAAGATAAAGTACCTATTATTGATGCAAAGATTACTGATGGTAATCCCCCCTCCCCTCTTTCTTTATATTGCAAATAATGATCCAAAAAGAACCATGGATATTGCATAGTAAACTTTCAATTTTTGGTTCATGGACTTTTCACCTGTAAAAATACTGTACTATGTTGATATGTTATATCATCAGATCAGTCTTAATGAATCATGTTTTTAATTTCTGCAGAGCCAGGGGAAGACCCTTTTGCTAAAAGACGTGCAGACAAAAAGAAAAAAATTGAAAAGCAAGAGAAAAATAGATCGCAGAACTTGAAAGAAGCGGCCAAAGTTGGTGCTTTGCCAAGGTTCAATCCTTCCATTACTTCTCCGCATGATCAAATTATGATCACTGATTGGTTTTGACTTAGATTCTGTCTTAAAATTTTTAAAAGTTTCTCCTTATTTTTTGAGAAAATAAATATTTCTTTATAGTAATCTTGTCGATACCTGTTATGAAATTCTTTTCTTGCTCATATTGGTTCAAAGTTCGAACTTTAATTTTAGTCAAATGTGGAAAATATATTTTTCATCTTAAAATTTGTGCTTGAAAGGACAATTGCTAGCAAGCCACAATATTTTTTTTTTAAATAAAAAAATTAATATTCAAATTATTAACTTCCTTGAACATCTGGCAATAGGAAATCTCAAATCCATTGATGTGGTGTGTGAGAACCAAAATTCATGGATATATATGCATGCCTACATGAAGTTGTTCACATACAGGGATGGCAAAACAAAATAATCTTTAGTCCCTAACAGGAAACTTTTTTCACAGCCATGTTCAACTAGCTGCTACAGCTTTGCCGATAACCGGAAGCCAGGCTGTACCCAAGAAGTTTAGTAAAGAGGAACTCGGGAATGTGGCCGGAATGGCCGCAACCTCGACGGCTAGCGGGGGAAAGTTTGACAAGAAGTTGCCAGGTGAAAAGCCTGCTAAACACAAAGGAAAATATCGCAAGGTTGGTATACTTATCCTATCATCAGTGGTGGAACCACATTGGGCCCTGGGTGGCAGCTTTAGTTTTACCCGAATCAAAATTTTTTTATACATTTTTCCTTCATTTTGCCCCCCCTGTATTTTTCTAATTATGATATTTATATGAGATTTTTTTAAGCGTTTCTATTATACCTCAAATTTGAACTTTTGTGTTAATTCACGCCCCCCTGAAAAAATTTCATGGCTCCACCACGCGACTGCCTATCATGTAAATGCTCTAATATTTATGTTTGTTTTGCATGGTCATTACATGCTTCATTTGTCTTTTGGGATTTGTTTCAGTTCCTACCGGTTGTAGAAGGAAAAGGAATGGTCTCACAAGAGAGAGAGCAAACAGAGAAAGTTCTGAACAAGCTATTCTCTAAGAATTCCCATGAGATGCTCAATGTTAACAAGGTTCGGTTCTTTTTATATCGCGGTTTATCCATCTCTCTCTCTCTCTCTTATTTTTCTGTTATTATTGTTGAATTTTTCTCTCATTTAATAATTCGAAAAACAGGCGGTCAACATGTACAACGTGAAGAAAGAGAAGAAATGGAAAAACAAAGAAGGCAAATCTTCACCAAGCTCAAGCAAGTTGAAACCAAATAAGACACTTAAGAAGAAATCCTTAAATAAGGGCTCTTCAAAGAAAGGCAAGGCCAAGTGAAATTAAGCTTACAGCAACAACAGGTGTAAGCTTGTGCGATTTTGCCATACACTTTGGATACCTGAAGGAAGATGTTCTTGTTTGTTTATTTCATATTTATTTTTGATGGAAAAAATTAGTTTTTGTCCATTAGTTTCTCTCTGTATGTGTACTTAAATTCTCTTACAAGTCAAGTGATGAGCTAGCCAACCTCTAGAATCATTTCCTCTTATTTTGTTGTCCGAGTTTAGAATGGCAAGTTTCTAGGGCGTGTCTAGTAGAGCTTCTTGGAAGCTGTTATTGACTTCCTGTGAGTTAAATTGTTGTTTCTGCAAGTGTTCGAATTATTAGAAGAGCTTTTATCTCTCAAGAAGAACTTCCAGTTCTAATCAAAGCCACAAAAAAATACCACTTATAGAAAAGTTCTTCTAAATAAACAATGAGGTATCGTTCTCTTCGCGGATTTAATTTTTTTATTTGAGTTGAGATATGATATTTTTTGATAGTTTTTTATTGTAACGGAAAAAGTTAAATGTGATATTTTCTCAGAGTTTTTAACTGTAGAAATTTAAAACTGAAAATTTGAATCGGTGAAACGAACGAGGCCTGAATCTTCATTTTTAGAAAAAGTTAAATGTGATATTTTCTCAGAGTTTTTAACTGTAGAAACTTAGAACTGAAAATTTGAATCGGTGAAACGAACGAGGCCTGAATCTTCATTTTTAACGCATTAAATACTTTTAAAAATGTAGTTTCACATATTTATTGAAAGAGCATCTATTTTTCCTCTCTTTTTTAGGGACTAAAAGCAAAAACAAAGAGCTTTTCCATTTGGGTTCTTAATCATGTCTGAATGCACGCAATGGTGAATCAAGACACTACGCAATGTCTTTTTTTCATTTTGGTTGAATCAATGAAGAGAAGAAAGAAAGAATCATACCCAAAATTTTACCGAGGTTGGCACTTAATTGTCCTATGTCAATAATTAGTACATGATCTTTCACAAGAAACTCTCTCTCTCTCAGTTCTCTCTCCCTTCTCTCTCCGTTCTCTCTCCAATGATATAAGATTGCAAAATTAATTCTCCTAACTGTCGTAAGCAATCCCTTAAAAAGAAGCTAAGTATAGTTTAGTTATAATTGTGCATAGATCTTACGGGGAATAGAGTATAGGCTAACAATATTATAAACTTAAATCACCTGTTTAATTTATGTTTAAAAGAATATTTAATCAATAATATCATAACACGTCAATTAAGAAATTTAAAATCGTATATAATTGATTTTATTATACATGTTCGTTAAAATGATATGATAAATATGGTCGGTTAGACACCGTTTGAGACACTAAGGAGACGTTTGGTTCACGGATTAGAATCATGAGATTAGAATAATTTTTGATTTACGTGTATTTTTTGTGAGAGAAAACACTGTAACGAACCATGAATCATAATTCAAATCGTGGTACGAATCCCTTTATCAAACGTCTCCTAAAAATTAAATAAGTGATCTAAATATGATTGTATACAACCTAACTATGAAACTAACTATGCCTTCATATCTGCAAGGTCATCACCTTGAAAATAACCCGTGAAACCTCCTTGAAATGCTTGGACAAACTCAACATCATTTTACTTAGTAAATACTAATATTAATTACGAATTTATCTGGTCAATTGATTTATCAAATATATTCTTCATTTACTCAATAAATCCCTCCCTCATTTATCATGTAAATCTTTTATTTATGTTGTATATTACTTTTATTTATAATCTTCATAAATAAATTATTTATAGAGCAAATACGAATTTACTAAATCACTTTATTTTTTTTATTTTTTATTTTTCAGAATAAACCACTTATTTACTTGGTAAATGCTTACTGTTAAAAGTCTTTTTAGGTTAATTTGTAAATCTTTTATTTAATAAATCAATGACTAGTTAAAACTTATATTTTACATATATAAGTGAGGTTTTCAGTTTAGGTACAATGACCATTTAAAACAAAACTTTTATATATATATATATATATATTTATATATATAGTCTTGGTTCTCCGGATAAAATTTTAATTAAAAGATATTTACAATTTTGACTTTTATAATTCAATAAAAGGATTTTTTTACTGTTTGATATGCTTATTAATAATGTATATTGTTAGAATCAGATCATAATAAATAAAAAAATATGAAATTTTGATTAAAAACAAAACACACATAAAATTCTTTAAAAGTAGAGTATATTTTTTTTTATTAAAGGACATTTTATATCTGTATTTCTTTAATAATTGGATTTTTGGTGAAATTTCATAAGTGGAAATGGTCATCAAAGTTCCTTAAAAAAAACTGATATTCGAAGAAATTTTTCGAAAAGAAATTCAAAGAATTCCCAGCTCTAGAACCTTCCACACCCATCTTTCGCCACCAGATCACTCTCTCGCCTCCAATTAATTTTACTATTATAAAAGCACCTTTCGGCCTTTTCGTACAAAACCCTAAACCCTAAAAACATCTCAAACAAACCACTGTTCTCGCAACCACGATTTCTCTCTCTCTCTCTCTCTCCATCTCTCTGAGCTCTGATTGTTACCAGCCATGGCCGCAGCTGCGTTGCTTCGCTCCCTACGCCGCCGCGATGTCGCTTCAGTCCCTCTCAGCGCCTACAGATCCGTATGTTCCATTTCTAACTCCACTTTCATTTCTCTCATTCATTCATTCATTCGTTCGTTCACTCATTCATTCATTTCTGTTTCGGATCTTTTGCTCGATTTGCGTCTTGGTTTCGAATTACGCTCCGTTTTGTTCCCGAGGAAGTTTGGAATTTGGATTATGATGATTCATTTCCTTTTTGTTTTTTAATCATAGCAAATCGATTGTTTAGTATTAATAGGCTGAAATTCTTGAACGATTTTGTAATACGAACAGTTGGTCATGTTTCTGTCGCTATTTATTTTGTTTATTGTGTATATTACATTAGTTTCTGGGCATCTGGGCTTGTTTCTCAAGTTATTTGTTATTTCCTTCTTTTTCCAAAAAGGATGGTTTTATCATCTTAATACGTACGTTTATTTTCTTTCCTGGGGATTGCATGATTCAGTGATTTTCTTAGCCTTTCATGTTCAAATGTTCATAGTACATATTTTAGAACTGTACAAGACTCGGTTTTTAAATGCTACAAGGTTGGCCCATGTACTATTTTTTTTGCACATGACATAGTTTTAGCTTCTTGAGAAGTTGATAATGTTTTAAGCGTTATGTACTGTTCAAAATCAAATATATTAAAGTTAACTCCTGAGGAACTGTTTGATATTTATCCCGGGAAAAATCATTATCGTTTGTTTGATCTTTTTAGCAGTTTACTAGCACTACTAAGCCATCACATCTCGGCCATAAGTGGGGAAGCTTGGCGAGACCCTTTAGGTATTATGAGTTTCCCTGACGCTCTTGGTGCCTTTTTTAATGTGTTTTGCCCTTATGGACGGATTAATTACTGTTATTTCTTTCACCGCAGCTCAAAACCTGCTGGAAATGATGTTATCGGTATTGACTTGGGTACCACGAACTCATGTGTTGCTGTTATGGAAGGAAAGGTGGGTTTTTAAATTTTCCCTTAGGCGCATGCTTTATTTATTTTTATTTTTTCGATTGATCTTCTGTTGTTGTAATCTATATACTCTTGAAATTGCTTGGTAGAATCCCAAAGTTATTGAGAACTCTGAAGGAGCTCGAACAACGCCGTCAGTTGTTGCCTTCAACCAGAAAGGAGAATTACTTGTGGGTACTCCAGCAAAACGTCAGGCGGTGACCAATCCAACAAACACTCTCTTCGGAACCAAGCGTTTGATTGGAAGACGTTTTGATGATCCTCAGACGCAAAAGGAAATGAAGATGGTTCCTTACAAGATAGTTAGGGCCCCAAATGGTGATGCTTGGGTTGAGGCCAATGGACAACAATACTCCGCAAGCCAGATTGGGGCTTTTATTCTTACCAAGATGAAGGAAACTGCAGAGGCTTACCTTGGAAAGAGT